TTTTGCCATATTCTGTACTCTGTGAAAAGAAAGTGTTGTTTTTCACCTCTGAGAAAGCACTGGTAGTGATGCTGGAAATTCTATAAAGCTTTCCTTTTCTGCCTGACCGGTGAAGATTTAGTCAGAATGACATGCTGCAGACTAGCTTCTTCCTTTTTCTCATGTGCATATGAGATTGTACTTACAAGGGCCTTCTTTGTCTCCTAGTGATGAGCCTGAGGAATCTGTGGGAACCCATAGTCTTCATAGGCTTGTAGTTTTCATTACAAACCCTCCTGAGTGTCCTGAGTTTTTCTGTTTCTCCAGTGTGGATGAAGTATTGTAGTTTTCTTCCATGGGCCTGCTTGAGGGTCTGACTAATCATCTATTCCTTGGATCAGATAGTTTTTTCTTGTTAGCCAGATTGCTATGCCTGGAAGGATTTTTCCTGACAATTTTATGAGGTCAAAGAAGTAAAAATTTTAATGCAGAATTGTAATGGTAAGAGGACTACAGGAATGTTTGCTTATTGCATCCTGCAGAATGTTTTCAGAAACTAAAAATGATATCATCTAGAAGCAAATGGGATACGTCCGAAGAGCTTCCTTTTATGAAGGAAAGTGAGGAGCAGTCCCAGTGTCTTTGACGGTTAAGGCAACACCTCCATCCCTATTCTTTAAAGAAGGCAAGAGGAATTCAAAGAGGATATGAATTGCAGGGTTTAAGGTGAAGTGGATCAACTCTGAATTATTATTTACATGATCTGAGGCTATTAAAGCCTATTTTGGGTTTACCATCCCTTCCCATTCTTAAGCTAATATGTTTGTAGCCTGCTGCTTACTGTCTATCCCTGGATTATGTTTTATTTAACATCTTGTCCTGAACATGTGGAAGGAAGTTAAAGACTGTATTGTGTGTGTATTTAAAAATTGCTGAATATGAGATAGGAATACCAATGAGTTGCATCAAAATAAAATATATCTTTTGCTTTCCCAAGATTATAAGCATTAAACATATGAGTGGTATAAGATTCTGCTAAAGTCAGCAAATACAATGTTAAAATGAAAAATATTTTTAAAAGGAGTGAATACTAGAAGGTATGAACATGAATCACAGGGCCATGAAGAAACTATGTCCTAGTTGAAGGCCATGCGAAAGAGTAGTCGTAATGAGTAATTGCTTAAATTGAAAAAAAGTCCTAAGTATAAATGAAATTTGAAGATTGTTAACAGCAGCATGTCAGAATTTCTTGTGAAATACCGTAAGACTGCGATTTTGAGAAGTTAATCATTTTCTGTAGCAAAGTGGGTAGAGGGGTGAAACCTATTTTGGAGGCTTTGAGTAACGTCTGCTTTTGCCTTGTTGGACATTGTAGTGATTTAAAAATTGTGATGGATGTTGGTGACCTTCTTTTCCTTGCATCAGATAGAGGAAGTAAAAACATCAGGATCTTTCTTTGATTACCTTTTTTTTTTTTTTTTAAGAAAAGCTTCTGTGCATGAATATATTTTCAGATATTTGACTCTACTCTGCATAGGTACTTCATTTTCCTTCTTTTTACACACATGCCTCAGTGGGGAGAAACAGACTAAACTTGGAGTGATAGGAAGAGTTTATTATGGCATTGTCACAGCTCAGTTCCGTGAAGACTTAGACTGAGGGTATAGTTTCACATGGTGTGTCACCTCATTTAGTTTCAGGCTGCCATCCAAAAGAGGTTGTCGCTTTTGGTAGTCTCAGTCAGGTCAGAAGCTGATGTTTTCTTACATAGGTTTGTTTTCTCTTGGATCAATGAACTGATAAAACTTACTGAGCATACTACAGTTCTTGAAGCTAATGCAAGGAGAGGGTGCAGGGGCATGCAGTGAGGCACAGGAGAGGGGCTCAGGACTTCTCCATTTCCCCTGTCTTTTTGGCAGCAGCTTATCATCAGATCAAAGCAAGCCTAATGCAAAAATGTACCCTACCTTGAGTTAAATACCAGCCCTTTCACTTTCAGTGAATGGCAAAAATTATAGAGGAACTGTTTGAACCACTCTTTGCAAAAAAAGGAGTATGGCCATTGAATGGATAGCCCTAACTTTTTCAGTTTCCTGTTTTAGTTTTAAGAGGTTAGTTAGTTCTATAATGCTGTGGCTCTACTCAGGAGAGCAAAGAAAGGATGACTTTAAGAGCAGTTGTTCTACTGTCCATGAACCTCCCTTTTCATACCTGCAGTTTTTCAGGTTGTTTGGAAGATTAAGTACCTAAATGGACTTTCCAATAAAGTACTTTGATCAAGAGACTGCAGCAATCGCTGGCGGAAAAGAGAAACCTACCTTTATATTCTGGTCCTTAATGCCGTTATAATAGCAAAGGGGATTTTATGGCTAGCTTCATTTTTCACTCTGCAGTCAAGTTAACTAGGGTTTAATTGTGTTTGTTTTCTCAGTTCAGATTTCAGTGGATACTTTTTCTGGTACAAGTACCTTGACCCAAATACATTAGAAGGGTTTCATTTTTAAACAGTATTTTAACTATCTGCTTTAAGTCTTTGAGTCTTTCTTCCCTCTTTCGGTTTTCACTATGACATTCAATACCTCTGCTAAATCAGTACAGTGACTCAGGTAAATTCTTTCTGATCAAACATTTGAGAAAGCATATGTCTGAAGTTTAGAGTGTTTCAGTCATGCCAGCTGTTGGCTTTATGTCTGGAAATTCTGGTTTATGATATTAAACCTAAGGTGTATCACATTTTTCCCAGCACATACTGATGTGAATATATTTTGCAATGTTAAAAATAGCCAAAATTGTCCACCACTGAGGAAGAAAGGAATGTGGTTTAAATAAGCAGAAATTTTATTATCTTTTGTGGCAAATTACCCAGCAGCAAGCATTACGGTGTCAAAATTTCCTTAATCATGCTTTGTTGCCAGATTGGCCCCAGCTGGGAATGCTGGGAACCCACTATCAAGATTAAAAAGAGAGTGGGAAAAGGGCTTCCTGCATCTCTCCCATCTTCACAGTTTCTGCCTAACGTCTTTTTACAGGAATCAAACTCCAGTTATAGAACCAATTACAAAGTTTAAAATGAGTTGTGAGTGTGAATTCTGAGATCCCCTACAATGCAGTGCAAAAACCTGTAACATTTTTAAATAATAATAAGAGGTGGCAACAGATCACTTGCCTTTCTGTTCCACTCTCAACTGAAATGAAAAAAACCCTAAAGATATGAACCTTAGAGAAGTTACAGATTCTCTTCCTTTTCTACTATTCAGGGTTATAAGATGTGTATTCCTATGCCCTACCGATATGTGAAAAGGAAGCTTGCAAGGGTTTTCTTGGTCGTTGTGTCCAGTGGCTGCTGCACAGGCAACCCACATGACATAATCCCTTTCATGAACTTGATCCACTTCCATCTAAAATATAATTTGAGAGGTTTTTCCACGATCTCAAATGACCAAAAAAAAAAACCCCAAACAAGTGCACAAAGATTAAACAAACCAAAAAATGCCACCCTCCAGTGTTGATATCTAACTAATAGCTAACTAATCTAATATCTAACTTGATATTAAAAATATTATTTTCATGAGTTAGAGATATAAGTTGATTTTCTATGTTAAATTTTACTCTGATGAATGAAACTTAGATTTTGACTAAATGCTATCCAGGCAAATTGAATCCAACTTAATTGTGGAGTGCAATTGTGAACTAATTTAGCATCTTGCAGTTTAGTCTAGAAAATGGTGAAATATCAGATCTTTGCAGTGAAACAACTGAGTAAATCTCCTGCTAAGAAGGAAGAGGTAAAGGTTTGGGGGAGGAGTACTCTAATTTTGCTGCCTTGTATCATCAACCAGTTTCAGCTGTTGAAACTGCCCTGTATGAGGAAACTTTATTAACTATTAATTCTTACTGTAAGAAAAGGCAAATCTCAGCATGAGGTAGATTGCTCTTATTCAAAGTCTAACTGACTTTTTCCGCACAAGACTTTATTTCCCATGACTCTCCTTGTTCACAGATGGCTACTCCTTCAGCAGTATGCAGAACAGCCTTCCTCCAGTCTGTTGGTGGCTAGCTCACAGTTTGCAGGGAGGAAAAAAAGGCAGCTGTCTGTCTGCCTCCTGGAAAGAAAGGTGCTTGGGAGAGATGAGGCTGGGGAAGGGGAGAGCAGATGTGCCCTCCTGACTGGGTGTCCAAGGTCCTGCCTTGATTTCACGCTCCTTACTGGAAGGCGGTACCCTCATCACATACATGCACAGTGGCTACCCTCAGAAGCACCACAAGCCTACAAGAAGCACCACAAGCCTACATGCCACATAGATCTGCCATCCTCTTTTTCTATCCATATGCCCAGTGCAGCATTTCCTAGGAGCCCTGCTTTAGGCATCAGCATTTTCCCATAGGCCATAAGGAAGATTTGGTAAGAAGTCCTCATTTCCAGAAGTGTAGCTTTCCAGAATTACTGCTCTGAGATACGGTATTCCTCTGAATAAATTTGAATTGGGAATTGAAGTTCTGGAACCCTAGGGAGTAGTGCCTGAAGGGATGTTAAAGGTGAAAATAAAAATCAGGTTGATTTGGAAAGACTTAAGAATAGGAGATCAAAAACTAGATTCATCCCAATGGTACAGTAGTTTCTACATGTCCTTACAGACCCAATTAAAATAACATTTGATTAAAGTGAATACAACAAAGCACAGTTTTAAATGGTGCTAAGTCTGTGAATAAATTGAAAAATCAGCAACATTTAATTTTATATTAATGGTTAAAGAGTACTTTCTGGTGTTAGTTATTTTATGGTTTCTCTGGTGCATAAGCCGTAAGACAGTTCAATGTGAACTTAAAAGTCTGTGGACAATGCCATCTCTCAATTTAAATTAGCATGGCTGAGAAAATAATTTTAGCCTTTAATGTTGATTTACAGCAATTTTGCGTTCTTTGCATGTTGAAATCCAGAACAGTGTGATGCTAATACAGCTGTACCACCTGCAGGTGTTACTTGAGACTCAAGTGAGCAGTTGTTTGTATTTTCTTTGAAGGATCAATATTTCGAGATGTGCAAAGGAGAGGGGTCTGACTGACAAGCTGCCTTGATTCACTGTTATTCTAACTGTGACTGGAATGACTGAAAATTCCCTCAAAGAGTAAGATAATTTATCGAATCTATAAAGCCAAGCCAAGTGTTTGAAGTAATCAGCTATTTAAGAATAGGTTATATTTTCACTTTTTAAATGTCTTACTTTCCTGTTTGTAGTTTGTCAAAGTTCAGAAATGTTCATATTTTGTACTGCGTTTGCATGAAAAAATATGCATTAAATGTTGCAATTTTACAAAAATTAATTTTGGTGTAATATACTAAAATAATTTCTAATAATTGTGTTAAGAGAAATTGCTATTGTGTGTACCTGTATTACTAAGAGAAATCTGTTTTTAATTTTTTGTGCATATTTAGAGATTTATCAAATACCTTGGCTTTAGTTGATAGTTTGTGGAGATAATGTGAATGTGTAATTATGAAATGGTGTATTTTCCTGAGAATAAGAGTCCTGCTGTGGGGCAAAATTATGCTGCCCTGTTTCTGTATGGCATAAGAGCATTGGTGTAAAAAACAGATGTTTCTTTGAATGGCTCAACATGTGATACAAATATTATGTGTGTATGTATACACACACACACACACACACACACACATACATATATATATAGTTAGTAAGTTACTTTTTATTTTTATATGTTTAAATGTATCCATTCTCAAACATGGAAAAAAATAAGATGCTTATTAGTGATCTGCTATTATGAATGTAGAATCTAGATTACAAGTTTTGTAGTAAAGTGTTTTTGCAGTAGTATCTGCAGAATTCAGAAAGTTTTTTCTTGATGACTTTTTTGACCTTTCCCTTGAAAAGTCTTTCATCCTTTAATTCAGTATTTATTGCTAATTTTGCGGGAAGATATTATTTTGTGCATAGCATAATATTTTTACAATATAAAAACAAAGAATTTGGAAGAATCCTTTGAATGGAAGAGTGGTTTTCCCTCATCCATTGATGTGACAGTGCAGAACTGCACTGAGCTTAGTTTAAAAGAGAAAAAATCAATTATTATTCTTGCAAAGTAAAGTATGCTATTTTAATTTGAGATCTTGATTTCAAAGATAAATTAGTTGTAACAAGCCAAGAAAACTGTAATAAACATAGCAGTGGAAAATACATTTCTTTTATCTCTTTGGTGGTAATGTGAATGTGAAATTCAAATGAATCTGTGAACATTGTAAATTTTTACATCAAAGTGTACTGTTTACTTATATAATAGGTTTGAAACTCTGAGTCAGTTTCTGTTTCATTAATAGCATACACATGCAAAAAACACAGAGAAGGCTATAGCTGAGCTAGAGAACAAACTAGATTAACTTCTTGATGAATAAATGAGCTTTTTTTATTTTTCTTTTTTTCCCCTAAAGGTTTGAATTAATGGTTTGTTTGAGAAGCTCACTTAGGCTTAAAAATAGATTGCTGCTTTGTAAAATTGAACCTAAAATTACATTATTTTAGTGGTATTAAGTGCCTTCTCCAGCACTACCAGCAAATGTAAAATAGTCTTAGTATATAAAATATATTTTAAATGAGAGGGCAGTAGCATGGGAATGTAGGTTAGCACTTCACATTTAGAAGGTTTCAGTTTGATAATGGTATTTTTTAAACTCTTATTAGAAGCACGAGGTTTATTGTGAGAATCAAGCTGCAGGGCTTTATTTTTGATACATTAAAATATGTAGTCGTATTAGTCTTTTAACATTATAATAGCAGGAAAAATTTCCACGTTTATATAAATGTGAAGCACGCAAAAATAAGCCCCTCATGGGATTACTGTCTTTTTATGTCTTTGATAATGCAGATACAAGAAAATGGCTAGGGAGGAGGGAATTAAGAGAATTAGCTGCAATAAAAATTATAGAACAAATCTTAGCGTTTTAGTCAAGCCATAGTTTAGGTGAAGTCAATGGCAGATCTGGTTGAATAACACCAGCCACATGAGGTGTTAATCTGTAAATATGAATGTAAATATACTGTCTATGTTATTCTAGGTTGCTCCACTAAAATAACATAACAGCATTGGGTCTATACATTTGTGTATTTGGAGAGATGAGGTTACCCCATCATCTCCCAGGCTGTGTCTTTAAACGCTGCTGAAAGTGATTGTTCTGTTTGTAATTTTCATATTAGTATCTCTTAATTTCAGCTTCTCCACATCCTTCTGGCTTTATGTAAGCAATTTTAGTATGTAATTACAACCTTAATGCCTTAAGGATGTCTGCACTTCTTTTCCTTTTTGCCTTTCCCCCAGCCTAGCAAAACACAAAAGGTAGATACTATTTATTTGGTATTTTCTTCTGAATCCCATTTCCATGTTTTGCCTAAACAGTTGCCCAGCCCACTCTCCTTCACCCTCTTCTTCCCCAGCTCCAAACTCAGCGAAGCACCTACCCTGTCCTCTCTGGGTCAATCTGCCACCTCATGGAGGACTGACATTATTGCTGATATTTTTAAACAGACAACAATGCATCTGGACTACTGTGCGCCCTGTTTGCCAAGAATGGAAGAACTCCTGGCAGCGCAGCTAGGAAGAATTTGCCCTTGTTGTAGTTTATTATATCTCCATTTCCCTGCGTAGGCTCTTGAGGATGGACATCAAGTCTCCTCTCGTTTCTCAAGTGCCAGCCAAATAAGTCAGCTCTTAACCTAATGATACCAATAGACGGTGAGATGGTGTCTTTGTTGACAGTGTGTTGTAAGGCCACAGTCCTTGCTTTGTCGGACATTGCCTTGTTGTATACTCCAATTTAGAACTACCACAGTTTGTACTACCATAGATTTTCAGCTAGCTGGAGGTGTTTATTTGCTCTACAAGTTAATGTTAAAGAAAAAGGAAAGGCAACCAAAAAAAAAAAAAAAGAAAATTGTAAAAAACCCACCAACCTTCCCTGCTTTACTTTACCTGTGCAGTTTAGGTTGCCAGCTGCAGCAGGCAGTTTTTATGAAGGTGATAAGCTATGTAACACTTCACATTTTGTTATGAACTATTTGAGAGTGAGAGAGAACTAGAGATAACTCGATTAGAGAAGTGGTAATATTGGAAAATCTAAAAATTAGTTAGTCCTTTTCGCCTGTTATTAGGGCACTAGTCCTGCGTATAGACTCCTGAACAGCAGACCTAGGCATAAGTTATGAAATGGGTTGTTTGTGAAATGTAGCACGGCTCTGGTGATATCTGTAAATTTTGATATCTGCAAATTTTGAGGAATTGGCTTGTTTGAAGTGTCACACTTTCCTGTTGGGAACAGTAGCAGCATGTATTAGCGTTGCCCTTTAAAGCTTGGGCAGAGCTGATTTGCACAACTCTGATCATCTTGAGCGTTATCGGTCCTTTTCAAGAGGAAGGTAGGCATCTTTCTAAAGCTCAGAAATGTTTGAATCTGAGCTCTTGGTTCTTACTCATTTCAATTTTTAATGGCATGCCAAGTGTTTCCAAGCTAACAGATAAAATTGTAACTCCTTTAAGAGAGTGATTTAAAATTAAAAACAGCAAACATGCTAATTTTTGCCTATGCCTCAACAGTATTTGTTTAAATAGATGCTACATATAGGTGGCCAGTGCCCCATCTCCTGAAAATCTCCCCAAGGCAACTAGGTGGAATTTGTACAGCTTGTTCCCTCAGTGCTGTTTACCCTCCTTTGTTAGTGTACTTGTTAGGGCTTTAGATCTGACAGAATGCCTTAGTCCTCAGTTTCTGGCACTGTCCCTCTTCTGAGCGACCTCCTCCCTAGCATAACTATTCTGGCATTTCATGCTAATATTAGTGGTTTCTGCTCTACTTCCCAAAGGGAGGAGTTTCCCTATCTTTGAATCAGATTCTGTTCTTTTGCACAGTAAGCTTTTCACAAAAATATCTCCAGCATTGCAGGCATTCTCCTAGACAGATAGTGCTTTTGGGAGTTAGCTGCAGGGATATAAAGAAAGTGATTAACCTGAGTAATACAAAGGGTCTTACCTTTTCACAGGCGCTTTGAAGCCCCTGCTCTGGAGTCTAGATCGTCAAGAAAAAAAAAGGAAAGAAAAACCCTTCATCATATTTCCTAGGCAAAGAAATTAAGATTTCAGGGAGCATTTTAGCTGAGCATCCCTTCTGCATGTTTACAAGGAACTAACTGTGAGTTCAGAGCTTTCCTTCAGGTTGATGGTACGCTTTCCTTCTGCCTGCTCCGCAGTTTTCCTTCGGGTTCTGTTTGCACTATATGATTTTGCTGTAACAGCAGAGTCTGATGATTTATAGGTAATTTTCTCAGTAAGCACTTTTTTGCTCTAGTGCAAAACCTTTCGGTGGAAAAGAGGTAGACTACTTGTAAACCTGTGTCTTATTGAAACCTGGTCTGAGTTAGGCCTTCTTAATGGCTGCCACAACATTTGCACGCTTTTACAAATGTTAAAACGTAGCTTGAAAAACTATGCTAATAGTACCATCATGTGAGTACCTGTTTCTAACATCTAAGTGGCTGCAAGAATGCATTCTTAATTTGTTTTTGTACCAGAATTTGTTTTCTAACTCATTGAGAAATTTAATAATCAGGCTGAATTTTTTACTTTTTCTCAATTACCATCTCTAACAGTGATGTATTTCAAACGAAATTATGTCTCTTTCAACCTATGCAAGGAATGCCTTCAGTCCCTCCTGAGTGTTTCCATTGTCTTCAAATTTGTAAAGTTGTGCTCAATTCAAACACTTTAACCGTGTCTTTGAAAGAAAGGAAAACATACGTATAAGTGCACAAGAGATGAAGCGTGTTTGCTCAGGCTGTAATTACTGTAAAGGACTACTGAAAGGAATGATATTAAAACATTGTTTTTGTATTCCATCCCATCTTCTTTTATAAGGCAGAAGGTAAAAAATAAGGCTATAAAGACTAATTCTGGTGAAGAATTTAGGGCACCAGTAGAACACCCAGGCAAAACTGAGACATCTGGGTTTAAAGTTGCAATCCAAAAATACCATTTAACCTGCTTGACTCTGGCGTTATCTAAACTTACTGGGCATCTCCCTGTTTGGGAGGTGTTTACAGCTTTGCTGTGCCATGTATGTAACTGCCCC